TGAAGGTTGTCAGTTGGTGATGGTGAAGGTTGTCAGTTGGTGATGGTGAAGGTTGTCAGTTGATGATGATGAAGGTTGTCGGTTGGTGATGGAGAAGATTGTCAGTAATGGCTTGGCTCGTATACTCAAGACTACAGGCTCACTTTTTCTCTATCCTGACCTATGTCTGGTAAGTAATATTCATATATAGCTATATTTAGTATCTGATTATATATATTAAACAAATAAAAAAGTCAAGAATGAGTCAAGTAAAAAAGGAAGTAAAGAAAAAAACTTTGACCAAAACAAAGAAAAAGAAAAACCTTAGAAAAGAAAAGGAATTGACTGTGTTGTTAGCTTTTTTTAATTTTGGGATAAAATTTTTGTAAACGGTTTAGTGTGATTTACTTTTTATCTTCAGGTCTTTGTGTTCCTTTTTTTTTTTTTTTGTTCTTTTGAAAATAATGAAATATTTCATGCATAAATCAAATCAAGACTTTTAACTTTTATACTTCATTCTCGTCTCAAACTGTACGGATTAATTTGAAAAGAGCATTATAGATATTATTATAGAATGATTAATTTGGTAGGTCATCATGCAGCTGGAAGCTCAATAATAACAATTGAGGAAACTCGGTGAATAGAAACCTTTAATGTCCTTGCAACAGCCGAATAACATTGTTCTAGTATTGGAGTGATAGGTTGATTATCAGCTGGAAGTTCCATAATAAATTGAAACTCGGTGAATGGACTCTTGTTATGACTAATAAGGTATTTCCTATTCCTTATCAAGTTTGATTTCTAGACCAAATGAAATGACATATGGTCCTGTTTCCATGGTATTGCAGTGTTGTCGGTTTTCGATATTTCTTGGGAGTTTCTCAGTCCGTCTGTGAAAATTTCAGCTTCGAAATTGGAAGTTCGGTTATGATTTTAACAAGTTAAACCTTTTTTGCAATAATGAACACCAGTGATCAAGCTGCTCAAGACAACAACATGACTTTGGATTGCGCACCATTATCTGTCTACTTTCTTGATGTTCCTCGCGATAATCATTTCGATACCTTTTTACTTGCCATGATCGTTATCAACGCTGTTATGGCTGTTGTAGCCAGTTGCAGTAATGCTGTGGTCATTTACACCATTTCAAGAACACCTTCTCTACAAACTCCCTCCAATATTCTCATTCTTGGTCTCGCCATCTCTGATCTGAGTGTTGGGATCTTTTCACAGCCCTCGTTTTGCTTGTTCAGGTTTTACGAGCTTCGTCGTAACCTAGATTTGTATTGTTCCTTTGGTAAGATGTACATGTACATTACATTACCCCTTGCAGCAATATCTTTCCTAACACTGACCGCCATCACTGCTGATCGATTCCTGGCCGTACACCTTCACTTGCGATACCAAGACATCATCACAACCAAACGTGTTGGAATCACTCTTGGTTTCATTTGGATCCTTGGTAGTTTGTTTGCTGTCTATTCTGCGATGTTTTTCAAGATACTGGCTGTCGTTATTTCTAGTTGTTGTTTCTTCGCATTTTTACTCTTTCTAGACGTCTATTTCATCTTCCGGGTGTGTCTCGTAATTCGTAGACACTCATTGCAGATACAATCTCAACAGTCTGCTCAACAACCCATCAACATGGTAAGATTCAGAAAGTCAGCAATGGTCATGGTTTTTGTAATTGGTGCGTTTATCTTGTGCTATGTTCCTTATGTCATTTTCACCATCATGCTGGGCGTGGTTGATGAACCTTCCTATGGATTACGAATTGGGTTCAACATCTCTGAGACTCTTGTGATGTCGAATGGAATACTGAACCCCATCATCTATTGCTGGAGAATTGAAGACATTCGCACTGCTGCGGTGCTGTTGATGCGCAAGATGCTGAGGCAACGCGAGAACTAAACGATTTTCTGGTGATGGATTCGGACTTTATACAGGGTCGCCTCCGAAAATCTGTATTATATAAAACTATCCTACAATAAAGTAGCTGAATATTATCCAAGTAACAGCTGATGCCAAGATAATCAATTAATCAATGCGGATTTGTCGAAGAATTGCAAGAATAGTTATATTGAATTTAAACATGTTAGATGTTGTTAAATGTAAGTTGGTGAAGTATATAGTTGGTGATGGTGCGGGTTGTCAGTTGGTGATGGTGAAGGTTGTCAGTTGGTGATGGTGAAGGTTGTCAGTTGTTGATGGTGGAGGTTGTCAGATGGTGATGGTGAAGGTTGTCAGTTGGTGATGTAGAAGGTTGTCAGTTGTTGATGGTGCAGGTTGTCAGTTGTTGGTGGTGAAGGTTGTCAGTTGGTGATGGTGAAGGTTGTCAGTTGGTGATGGTGAAGGTTGTCAGTTGATGATGGTGCAGGTTGTCAGTTGTTGGTGGTGAAGGTTGTCAGATGGTGATGGTGAAGGTTGTCAGGTGGTGATGGTGATGGTGAAGGTTGTCAGTTGGTGATGGTGAAGGTTGTCAGTTGGTGATGAAGGTTGTTAGTTAGTGATGGTGAAGGTTGTCAGTTGGTGATGGTGAAGGTTGTCAGTTGGTGATGGTGAAGGTTGTCAGTTGGTGATGGTGAAGGTTGTCAGATGGTGATGGTGAACGTTATCAGTTGGTGATGGTGAAGGTTGTCAGTTGGTGATGGTGAAGGTTGTCAGTTGGTAATGGTGAAGATTGAGAGGTGGTGATGGATAATGTTGTAAGTTGTGTGATCTTTTTCTTCCAAAGATAATGACTGCAGCCCTCGTCTTTCACACTTTATTCATCGTTGTTCTAGTTGCGCCTTCTCCCCATTGCATTACTCTCTATTCGTATGTTCTAATCCTTGCATACAAGACACTCCATGATAAAGACGATAATTGTTAATGTATAGAACGAGATTGTGTGTGAAAGGTCTAACACGATTTATGCATTATGTTCTATAGTATAAGATTCCTGTCATAGTTTTTTCAGTACTTTACATGTGATCTTTTTATTAAAAACAAATTCAAAGCTTATTGGTTCCTCGAAACAGCCTCTAGATTTATTAAAGTTAGGATTACTCACACATTAAATTGAAATTTAGCATAATAGTTTTTGCAGAGGTAGAATGGTAGGAATCGTACGACAAAACCTTCACCAGTTTTTTTAAAATGGTTGTATAATTGCTAAACTTTTCTGTGGGTACTCTGTATAGGGGAGTAAAGCGAAGGAGAATTCCCCATCCTGTTTAGAACAGTACCTTCGCCACTGTGTTACGATTGCTAATAATAGTTGGTGATATCAATGAAATACGGTTTCTTAAAGTATTTCGTACGTATTTCATCTATAATTGAATAATAAAGAGGGTATTAAATAGTTGCTTGGAGATACGTATTTTATCTTCTCTTTTTAAAAATATCTCACTAGTAGTATAGGGAATGGGGGTTCCAGCGCAATCTCAACACGGGCAAGACCCGTGTCAAAAATCCACCTACGGAAACAACCCACTCCAAGTGTGGTTGGGGGCAACAGCGCAAATATGTTAGTCTATATATGGAGTGCGAAGATTGTA